AAAAGCTGCAAATGCATTTTGCAGACGCGGTGGCGGTGGCACCCACGGCGGTAAAAAGCACACTCTGGATGTCCACCTACTGTATCGCTGACATTGTCCTTTCTGCAAAAGTTGTTGGACAAGGGTCGTTCCCCTTCCACACTCAAGGTCTATATAGTGGCCATAGCAGCTTCCCACGCACCTATAGCTGGCCAATAGGTGGGCAGGAACAACCTAGTTGTTCGTTTTTTGAAGTGGTCTAGGAGGCTCAACCCGCCTCTCCCCATCACCGTCCCTGCATGGGTTCTGCCCACGGTGCTGAGGGCTCTGAAGAGCCCTCCTTTTGAGCCACTACAGTCCACGAACCTTCATTCCCTGACACTAAAAACCACTCTGCTACTAGCGTTAGCATCGGTAAAGTGTATGGGAGATCTGCTGGAGCTCTCCGTGAGCCCCTCCTGCCTTTAATTTGGGCCCAGCGACTCTAAAGTCGTCCTGAAGCCAAGCCATGGTTATGTAGGTAAAGTGCTCTCAACTCCGTTCAGAGCGCAGGTAATAACTCTATCGGTGCTTCCTCCTTTGGAGCAAGACCAAGGGTGGAATTTACTCTGCCCGGTCAGGGCGTTAAAAGTTTATATTGAGCGTTCTGCCTCCTTCAGGCAGTTGGAACAGCTGTTAGTATGCTTTGGTGGCCGCACCAAGGGGTCTCCGGTCACGAAGCAGAGTCTTTCCAAATGGATAATTGACACTATCGCGCTAGCATACTCTTCCTTTGGCCTACAATGCCCCATGGGAGTAAGAGCCCACTCAACTAGAGGCGTCGCCTCTTCCTGGGCTTGGTCTAGCGGTGTGTCACTATTATTATATTATATTAATTATTTATTATTATTATTTTTATTTATTTTTTGCTTTTATGAAGAGCAGGGCATAGTTCAGCCAGATACAATGTGACTTACTGGAAACTGCTGTTAAAGTCGTCTGTTTTTACCTGTTGTGTGACAGCCAGCAATCATTCGCTTCCTAATTCTTATTTCATTCTTCTCATTTTCTCAACATTTTGATGGCTCTGCACATCCCCGGGCCCAATAACCTGTTGGACAAGAATACTTGACTGTTGAAGAATGATTGACTGTTGTGCAGAAGTATGAAGAGTGTTAACTGTACATACTGGATTTCTCACATTCTGGTCATATATACTGTAGGTGCCTATGTGAGCAGGTTAGAATTATGAAATGTCTTAAAAGCAACTTTCTTTTTTAAAGTTCAGAGGTCTTGGCCACCGTGCTGCAGCTCAGTTTCAGGGTCTTGGCAATCTTCTTATAGCCTATGCCATCTTTATGTAGAGCAGCAATTCTTTTTTTCAAATATTTTGTTCTTGCCATGAGGTGCCACGTTGAACTTCCAGTGACCAACACCTGCTCCCCATTCACACCTGAGACCTTGTAACACTAATGAGTCACATGACACCGGGGAGAGAAAATGGCTAATTGGGCCCAATTTGGACATTTTCACTTAGGGGTGTACTCACTTTTATGGCTAGCGGTTTAGACATTAATGGCTGTATGTTGAGTTATTTTGCAAATTTACACTGCTGTACAAGCTGTACACTCACTACTTTACATTGTAGTAAAGTGTCCTTTCTTCAGTGTTGTCACATGAAAAGATGATTCCAAAAAATGTGAGGGGTGTACTCACTTCTGTGAGATACTGTATATGTATATATATTTTTCATTCTTTTTTTCTTTTTTGAAATTAGTTTTTTTCTTTCTCAATTAAAAACAAAAAGGTTAAACCACTTAAGCTATTATCAACAGATAATTGCCAATTAACTTCAGAAATGGAAAATAAGCAACAATTGTGATTCTTTATAAATTGTACCATTGTGACTGCACAAGTGGTGTAGTAATTTAGTAGGTGATTGTGGCGAGGGGGGCGTGGCTTAGCGGAGTCTGCAGCGGGAGAGAGCGGTCGGAGACGAGCGGTGAGTAAGTAGGTCAAGTGCATGATGACATTCACCTGCTTCTCATTTCAGTGATTGGCCTGGAGAGACCGTAAAAAGCCCAGTTGGAACTGAGAGAGAGAGAGAGACAGACTGAGGTCTCAGTGGGGAGAGACTGTGGCGAAGGGCACCGAGATACGCAGAAGTGCTGTATAAGTTTTGTTTTGTTTGGCAGTGCCAGAGCGCCTGCCTGTATTCGTTGTTGCTAAGGACGCTCAATAAACTACTCGAGCCTCAGTCACGCTGACTCCGACTTCTTCCTGCCCTACTAAAGAACCTCGTTACAGTGATAATACTGTGAATTTACATACAAATGGCATGAAATGTAAAAGCATAACAACTGAAGGTCTATAAAATGTCAATCAATAAAGCATTTTTTGAACAATGGCACTTGTTTTTTTAACTAAAATATTATTGCAACTATAGCCAATGAATGAAAATGCATATTTTTCAATTAAATCTTCGAGAGTGTGGGCTGCTTTTGGTGCTTGGATTTGTACTTCAATATAATGAGGTACAAGTTTAAGAATACACTAGAAGTTAATTTTTTTTATGTATTTATTTCCCTCTATTTAACAGCATTCACTTACAATACTGAAATATGTCATCCCTCAGGCAGATTGAATGTTTTCCTGCCTTGCTGGTTGTTGGGCTCATGATCAAACCGATTTGGCAGAGTCAAAACGCAAACGGTGAAGTGAATTGCCATTAGCGCGAGTCCCGCTTGGTCTTAAAGCCTTCCTCGAATAGTTACGTTCACAAATAAAACAATGATTTGCGCAAAAATAATGATTAATTATCAATTCAAAATTTGTTATTTATATGGTCTGGTGGTCATATGGCGTATTCCTGCGAATACGGGACAAACTGTGTTATAGCTTTCATACAGGACGCTTCTTTGATGCCTTAAATACAGGCATCAATATTTCAACCCCAGTGGCATGACAAGACCATCCCTCGCGGCCAAAAAAACAGACCGGCCCACCGGGAATTCTCCTGGTGCCCCCGATTAGCCAATCCGGGCCTGGGCTCCACCTCAGGCAGTGGGCTCCGCCTGGGTCAGACTTCGCCATGCCTCTGCTGTGGACTTGAGGGCCATCTGCTGGCCCTCTACCCCTTCGGCTACATTACATTTACATTTTGTCATTTAGCAGACACTTTTATCCAAAGCGATTACAAATGAGGACAATAGAAGCGATCAGAATGAACAAATAAGCAATGATATGCAAGTGCTATAACAAGTCTCAGTTAGCTTAACGCAGTACACGTAGCAAGGGTTTTTAAAATTATATAATAAATAAAAAGAAAACAGATAGAATAGAGCAAGCTACGGCTAGAGGTCTTTTTTGATTTTGCTTATTGTATAAGAAATTAAAAGAAAACAGATAGAATAAAAAATATTAGGAAGCTAGTGTTAGTAAATGAATGGAGTGCAAGTCTAAACGTTTTTTTTTTAAAGAATAGAATTAGAATAGAGAGTGCTAGAGTTAGAGGGTCAAATAAAGATGGAAGAGATGTGTTTTTAAGGTTAAGGTTAAGGTTTTTAAGGTATAGCTTAAAAATGTTTGTCCATGTTTGTCCATGGAAAGTAGTTATAGGTGTCACTTGAGCAACTGTAATTTATTTGATGGGACCTATACAGGCTTTCTGTGGACAATGGATTAATAAATCATATTATGTGATTGTAATAATTTTATTATGTAAAACATTCAGTACAGTACACAGGAAACAGTATACTGCCTCCCAGGTTAATGTACAAAACCCATTAACATCAAGTCTTGTTTGGTACCCAAAACTGTATTAACAGTCTTCTATCAGCCAAGACGTTGACTGAGTAAAGCCAGAGAAGAGCAGAAGCAGGAGACGAAGAGATGATTGTAAAAAGGAGCTATTGTATAATCTTAGTTGCGTATGTTTCAATGCTGATCAGAACAAATTCAACAAGCAGTGTTTTACCAAACTGATTCACAACATCCCATAAACATTGAGTTTCCATAAACATTCCCTTATCTCTTATTCATACAGACAAAGTTCATGAAACCCCACAATCATAAGATTAAACAATAATGAAAATGCATAAGCAATAAAAATAAGAAATATCAAATATAAAAACATACTAAAATAATAAGTCAATAAATTAATAAATCATAAAATAATTAAAATTATAAATGATAAAAATAATCAAATGATAAATTATTTAAATGGCTATGGATTATATATGATTACATGTATAAATGATTATAAATTAATAAAAACAAGAAAAATAAAAACATAACACAAATGTATGATTGCTCTCTTGATGCAACACAAACAATTTGCATTTGAGGATCCTCAGATCCTTCACCATGTTCACTAGGTCAGAAAACAGGGAATTCAACATATTCTTATCTATACTATACTATACTATACTACTATCTATACTAATAACACTTATTAACAGTATTTTCTAAAACTAAGGAATAAACATTATTTTTCACTGAAAGCTAATTGAAAACACCCACCCCAAAAAATGGAGATAAAATCACAGCAGAGTTCCAGGAAAGGAAGAACGATCTGAAATCTCTTCTGTAAAATTCCTGGCCCAAAAAAGGTTAAGAAACCACTGCTATAGTTGATATATTCATCATGTATATGAAGAATCAGTGTATTGGACAACACTGAATCTCTCATGTTTGCTGCAGTCTCAGTCTTGCTCAGTCACCAACTTCACCAGGAAATAATACAAATCATGTTACATCACTATAACATGATTTTTATTATTTTCTGGTGAAGTTGGTGAGGCTAGTACTGTTGAAGTACAGAAATCAGTATGCAAAGAGATGAATCGAATTCCATTCAGAGTATTTTAGTATTTTAGACAACTTTGTCATCTAGACAGTCTAGTCATAAAAAAAAACAAACACTGAATTTAACAAGTTGCAGAAAGTCACACCCTGCAGAAAAACCTGTTTCTGAAGTATGTCATCATGAGGATATATAACCCCTCCAGTTCATATAAGAAGGAACTGCCGAGCTGCAGTGCGTATCGTCTCTCTGTCTGTGCTCATATACAGTGAAATGGCAGAAGCCAGTATCTCGTGGGCTGAGGATCAGTTCAGCTGTTCAGTGTGTCTGGATCTCCTGAAGGAGCCAGTGACGATTCCCTGTGGACACAGTTACTGTAAGGGATGCATCACAGACTGCTGGAATCAGGAAGATCAGAGGGGAATCTACAGATGTCCTCAGTGCAGACAGACCTTCACTCCAAGACCAGTTTTAAGCAAAAATGTGGTATTTGCTGAAATGGTGGAGAAACTGAAGAATACAAGACTCCAATCTGCTCCTGTTCCTGCTCGTCATCGTCATCATCACACTGAACCTGGAGATGTTCAGTGTGACTCCTGCACTGGAATCAAACAGAAATCAGTGAAATCCTGTCTGGAGTGTCGAAGCTCTTACTGTCAAAATCATCTTGAACAGCATGAGAGTCTCTTCAGAAGTAAAGGACACAATCTGATGGACGCCACTGGACAACTGCAGAAGATGATCTGCCCTCAACATAATAAAATGCTGGAAATTTACTGCTGGACTGATAAAAAGTGTATCTGTATGCTGTGTTTGGTGGATGAACACAAAAATCATGACACGGAATCAACTGCAGCAGCAAGGCAAGAGATACAGGTACTGCTCCATACTGGATCTCATGACAGTCAAGGTCATTTCTCTCCTCATTTGGCATATGATTTTTCTCTCAATCAGGAAAACAGATGTAATTAACTGTGTTTTAAGGTGTATTACTGAATATATTAATAAGAAATATTTCTTGAGCAGCAAATCAGCATATTAGAATGATTTCTGAAGATCTGAAGATCAGATTTCATCACAGAAATAAATTGCATTTTACCAAATGCCTTAGTGAATACATGAGACTTTTAAAAACATTCAGAAATCTCACTCACCCCATCTTATCAATGGTAGTGCAGATTTAATCATACTTTTGTTTTCTGCAGGGAAATATGAAAGAGGAACAGAGAGAAAACCAGAAAAACATCCAGAAGAGAGAAAAAGATCTTCAGGAGCTGAGAGAGGCCATGGAGTCTCATAAGGTGTGTTTGGAGAAGAAGATAACTTATTTTATATGCAATGCTAAAGACTACATTTGCTAACCTTTGCCATAGTAAATACACATTACGGTTATGAAAATACCAGAGACTGCATAACTGTACAATGAGAGAGGAGACAGCCCTCAAACATCATCAGTTCACATAATTTCATGATAAATTAATAGAAATGCTTATTCTTTTTAAAGGAATGGGACAAAAACATGAAAATATATCAATATATATATATTTTTAAATGTAGCTGCCTTTGGACTTCATGGACCCTCATTGAGTTGTTTTGTGCATTCAATCACAGATAAATTGAGTAGCCACAACAGAAAAAAAGCTAGGTAAGACTAAGCTAGGTAAAGGTGAGAGTGTCAAGGTACCCAAACTCAATCGGTGACAGAAATGGAGAAAAAAACCTTGGGAGAAACCAGGCTCAGTCGGGCGGCCAGTTCTCCTCTGACCAGACAAACTAACATAGTGTGGTTTAACCCTTAATCAGCCCTTGGGGTCCAGCTGACCCCATTTGAATTTTCCTTATTTTTTTAAAAGTGTTCCCTTCGTCTCAGGGGAATGAAAGTCTATGACTTGTTGTCTGATGTCTTTTGAATTATCTGCTTATGCAAATTATGTTACATAAATTTGCAGAAATGTCCCTCTCTCCCTCTGTGTGTGGTGTGTGTTATGTCTACCCCTTCACATTGTTGTGCATTTATGTTTTGTGCATTTTATTTGCCAAAATCTAAAAAATGCCCTGGACACCTATGTCACACCGGTGTGTGTGTGTGTGTGCGCGTTTTTGTGACAAATGAGGACATCAATTTGTATAATGACAAAGGTATGACATAGGTATTACAAGGAGAAGGTGACTTTTCAGGACATTACCCCATGTCCCCACTTTTCAAAACACATATAAATCACACAGAATGGAGTGTATTGAAAATCTGAAATAGCACAAAGTCTCCTGTAAGGGGTAGGTTTAGGGGTAGGGTTGGTGTAGGACAATAGAATATACGGTCTGTACAGTATAAAAACCATTATGCCTATGGGATGTCCCCACTTTTCACAAAAAAATACCTGTGTGAGTGAGTGAGTGAGTGAGTGAATGAGTGAACATGCTTGTTCCATGTTGCATTTGTGCTCTCGTACCAGTCCTTCATTTATGAGTGGAAATGTTCACATTTATGCCTGATTTGCTGATTTTATATGCCAATTTCTATAAAAATGCTCTCTATTGCAGTCACACACATGTGTCTTTTTTTGACAAATGAAACAAACAAACAAACAAAAAAAAAAACTTTTTTTCACTTTTCCCATTCATTTTCAAAGTGGGGTCAATCTGACCCCAAGGACCTTGAACGGTAATTTTTTTTGCACACCTTTAGAACAACCAAATCAAGTCCAGATTTTTTGTTTGTGTTTAGATAGATTATTTAGGAAAATAACAAATTCTAACCTTTGACAAAAATATAGATTTTTAATACATTTTAGAATATTTAAATATATATTCACAAAATATATATCATATAGTTGCCAGGAGAAGTTGAAACATGAAGAAAAATTGACTTGAAACTGAACTGAAAAATGAATGAGTCCCTATGGACCTCTGCTGGATATATGTGGTCATTGCACTTTCTTTCTTTAACTGTAATTCCTAAAGTTTTTCTTCTAAGCTGTAGATGGCAGTATTCTATCCCTAACACATGGGTCAATATCCAGAAACCTGTTATATTTAATTTAGGTCATCATTTAAGTGATTTTTTCATTAAAAAAATAGTTTTTCATAAGCCAATTTATGGCGTACTTGAGTAATTGTGCAGTAAATAGTGTGTCTATGTGTGTCTAACAGCGCTTTGCACAGACAGCAGTGGAGGACAGTGAGAGGATCTTCACTGAACTCATCCGCTCCATTGAGAAACGTCGCTCTGAGGTGACACAGCGGATCAGAGATCAGGAAAGAGCTGCAGAGAGTCGAGCTGAAAAACAACTGGAGCGACTGGAGCAGAGGATAGATAATATGAAGAGAACAGACACTGAGCTGAAGCAGCTTTTTGAAACACAGGATCATATTAAATTCTTTCAGGTAACAAAAATATTTTCATACACAGAAATGAGGACTTCAACAGACTTATCTATTGACAGAGAGCTTATATTTTTGTATTTGTCTCTGTAGTTTTTGCAGTCTATCTCTTTCTTTGACATTGTCGCTCCTCATCTGTCTTTTGACGATGTAGAGAAGTCAATCTCTCAACTCAGAGACAAACTGCTGCATTTCTCCAGAGAAACTATAGAAAATATGTACAGAAAAGGTAAATAATAATTCAGTATTGGAAATGAGTTCAGCATTATTCATCAAATATACAAATAGTTGTAGTTAAATTTCTTTTCAAATAGTTGTAGTTAAATTTCTTTGTGAGAAGTAACTGCAGATGTCTTTTGTTGTCCGTAGTGAAAACAGTCCAGGTCATTGGTGTTCCTGAATATCAGACCAGGCAGGAGTTCTTACAATGTAAGTTACTTTTTTTTTTTTTTACAAAGTAAGTGCATCAAGATGAAGAGCAAAAATCAAAAGGAGGCTGAGTGCAATCATTTTTAAACAGTTTTGATTGAATATTTGTTGATGGAGATGAATGGGCAGGTTTTGAATCTACTGCAAATTGAAATGATTGCAACACAAGTAAAGTTATATCATGAATAGGCAGCCAAAGTGGGTTTTCCTTAACCTACAGGAAGAATAATTGACGGTAACACATCATTATGTTCATACGCACTCAGAAAAAAGGTACAAAAGCTGTCACTGGGGCAGTAACTTTTCAAAAGGTATACCTTTCTACCTTATTTACCCCTAAGGGGTGCATATTAGTACTTTAAATGTACTTACTTATTTTTGAAGGCGTACTGCCCCAGATACCATGCTATGTTACCTATTAAATCATTAGTTTATACCATTTTTGCACACGTTTAACATAGATGTGTTGCAGTCCTGAATTAAATTCTACTTCATATGTTGAAATGGAGTGAAGTTTCATTGAAGATTTTACTATTCAGGGAGACGCATTTAAAAAATAAAAAATTAAAGAAAAGGAAAGGAAAGGAAAATTAAACTTTATTATTATAAACAATAATATATCTTGCAAATGTGCTATATTAGATAAAGATCATGAACAATTCTGTGTTTATCTCCATCAGATTCTCGTCTGTTGACTGTAGATCTGAACTCAGTGAATAATTGCCTCCATCTGTCTGAGGGAAACACGAGGATCACTGTCACTGACACGGATCTGTGTTATCCCGATCATCCAGACAGATTTACTAATTGGATGGAGGCGTTGTGTAGAGAGAGTGTGACTGGATGCTGTTACTGGGAGGTGGAGTGGAGCTCTGATATAGATATTGCAGTAACGTATAAGAGCATCAACAGGAAGGGAAATGGTCCTGAAAGTGTAGCTGGGTTTAATAATCAGTCTTGGAGTTTGTACTGCTCTGCGGACTGTTGCGCATTCTGTCACAATAAAATTGAGACTGTCCTTCCTGTAACCCGTGTCTCCAATAGAATAGGAGTGTATGTAAATCACAGTACAGGAATTTTGTCCTTCTACAGCGTCTCAAGCACAATGAGTCTCATCCACAGAGTCCAGACCACATTCACTCAGCCGCTCTATGCTGTGTTTGGATTTAATAGTCACTCAACGGTGAAACTGTGTCACCTAATGTATTAAATTATACAGAAATTATTTTGTCATATCACATGACGAATCAGTAATAATAAGATGTCTATATGGGGCTTATTTTCTAATCAGAAACACCACTTTTAATAAATGTTTAATAATCACAGATACATTAAATCTGTAAAACGTCTCATCAGATGAGTATAATAACAGCTGTAGTGGGAGAGCTGATAATTTTTTTTAAGTGCCCCTATAATGCCATTTCAAATATTGCCTTTCATGCAGTTTGTAGTGTAGCTGTATGTGAATGTAAATTATCTTAAAAGTTGTAAAGCCAAAAGTGCACAATAAATAAAGTTACTGTCTCCCAAAGGAAAAAAATTTAAAGCTGAGAAAAGTCATTAGTATTTCGAATCCTACTTCCGTGATGGCAACACGTCATGGGGTAACACATTTGCATAATGTTCTATGTTGGCCTGCCGTGACCGAGAAGGGTGTCCATGCACAACTGGAGTCTGCAGTTTCGAGAGGGGTATAACTGTAGCCTGGAGATCTCCAAATGGGGGCGGGAACTCCAAAACGGGGTGGGAGCTCCAAAATAGGGCGTGGCTTCCTCCTATTGATAGACAGGCACATGACACGCGTGACCAATTTTTCCCCCAATCCACTTCAGTGCAAACTCCACCCCACAGCTTATTCTAAAGATTTTATTGGTTGTGTCAATTAAAGTGTTGATTTTCTACACTATGCTACAAAAAATGCTAACCCTTAAACCTACCCCACACCTGACCCTAACCTTAACCAGTGAAATTGACTGCACGGCGGGATTGGCACTAAATAGCATGGTAAAGAAAGACGCAGTTCAGGAGATAAACAGTTAATAAGATAATGCGATATGAGATCGTTCCGTAACTCCCCAACCGGACCTCACCGGACAATGGCACCTTTTTGTGCCCAGCGTCACTACCCCCTCCTACCCCGCGAATTTCGAGCACCAGGATGCCCTCGTTACTTAGAACAAAGCGATAGAGTAAAACTTTCCCCTGCGCTGCGCTGGGACGGCTCGAGGGACATTCCCTCCCGTTTACATCATGAAGCAGTGGTTCAAACTCCAGTCCAAACACCACTGGCCACGAGCTTTGGGCTCTGTTCTCACGGAGAATATTTATTTATATATCATATTTTATTTTAGATGAACTAGAAACAATGTT